GCGCACGCACACACACACACACACACACACACAGACACACACACACACACACACACACACACACACACACGCACACAAACTCAACTGCCTTTTTTTCTAATAACTGACATTAAAAGGTCGAAACTACATTCACCGAAGATCCTTCTCGAGACATTCCTTTTCAAATAGGTGCCCATGAATTGGAACTAGACCACCACCATCCTAATAAAGAAAACTATTTGCAAGTGTTAATTTAGTACTTTACCAGTATCTGATGAAGTTGTTCTGAAATACACTAAGTAGAACAAATTGTGGTTTATAATGATCAAAACCCTGTGTTTGTTGTCACCCATTCCTGTCTACTCCCTCCCCACACCTCCCACACCCCCCTTCCCAAATCCTTCCCCCGATTGGTGTTAGAATTTAGCCCTCTCAAAGAAGCATCCATTCTAAAACCTACCTTTCCCTCGCACACGAACGCGCGCGCATGCGCGCACACACACACACACACACACACAAACTCACACACACAAACACACACAAAAAACATTACAAAGATGAGTGTGGGGCTAGGGTTTGAGATTACTGATGATGATGATGATGGTGCTTTTGTTGTTGTTGTTGATGATATTTTTTTGTGGCTGTTGGAGTAGTTTTTGTTTGTTGTTTTTGTTATTGTTGTTTTCTATTTGTAGTGATTAACTATGTATTATCTGATCTAAATTGAAACGATGGCATAATTCATACACATTAAAGACACGGTGGTTAGAATTCAGGACTTAGATGGATGCAGGTTTGATTAATAGCACCTGACTATTTAAATTTCTCACTCCGCAGTAGCACGTCCTCTGCTTTCATGACGTGTTGTATGTACGCCCTCCATCGACCCTGGTCTATACCAGAGGCTGATTCTCTCAAACGTTTCTCCATCTTCTCGGATATATTATTTTCATTATCAAAGCAGCAGCAGAAGTCGTCACGTAGAAGTGAGAGTCTCATATCACGCCACGCCAACTCTATGGGGTTCAGAAACGAGTGGTAAGGCGGAAGTCTCAAAAACCTGTGTCCGTCTCCAAATATAGCACTCACAGATGCGGGTAATCCGAATTTCTCCCTTAAGGCCTCGAACTGAACATTTTTCGAATGCAAAGAGAGATTTCCTGTTCCTTCATGCACTATTTCTTGACATGAAACGTCAGATTCATTCATATCAACTTTGGACTTCAGTCCGTGGAAAGACGCATTGTCCAGTACGATAATTGAGCTGCTAGGGATATTGGGAAGCAGGTGCTTGTTCACCCAAGAAAAAAATACATCCGAGTTCAGACCTGAGTTAGTGTACTCGGAGCTCTGAGTCTGCGATTTTTGACATTTTGTAATCGACAAAGTAGCAGAAATGAAACCCATGTCTCCTCCTGCGTGCATAACCAGCATTTTCGGATAGCTCGCTTGTGAACGGGAGGATTTACCATATCGTGAATGGCTGTCCTCTCGAAAGGGACCAGTCTTCTCTCTTCTTGCAGCTGGACCAGACAGGCTGAACCAGGCCTCGTCAATGTAAACAATTGGTCGACCCTCTTTTCTGTACTTAGCGACATTTATCAGATAAGCGTAGCGTGTCAGAGCAATGGAAATTTTGTTTTGAAGAACTTTTATTTTCTTTTTATGAGCAACATTTTGTGTTCTTTTGAGTGGAAGGTCAAAGCCTGTGCTATTATTATTATTATTGTATCCTTGAAGAGACTGGGAACCTTTCTCACTCAAAAGCCAAAATGCATATAGCACGTCTAAGGATGGTATGAAATGTTTCTTTGTTGTTACGTTGTGGAAGCATTTGCTTACACATTTGTGTCCATAATCCCTCAAAATGGCGCGGGCTGATCTCAATTCTTGGCACACTATGTCGAGGTCATTGTTTGATGTTTCTCTTCCACTGATCACTGTGAAAGAAAAGAAACCCCTTTATGACCAGCGTCAGAGAGAGAGAGAGAGAGAGAGAGGGGGGGGAGAAAGAGAGAAGGGCGGGGTAGGGGCGGGAACGGGGGACCATGCTTCATAAATCTTGACTGTCTGTATCTAATATCAGTTACTTAGTCTCTTGATTATGAATTTGGGTGACGCTAAGAAAGATGTGTGGGTGGTTGGCGGGTGCTCTGGTGTGGTTTGCTTCTTCTTTCCTATCAAACATCTATCGTCTTTATCTACTCTCATTCTTTTTCGTGTTTGTTACTCTCTAGTAACACCTCTAATCTTCGGCGCTTATTTGACTTTTTACTAAAAGTATAAAAGAAAGATGTGAAAAGGTGGGAAAGGGGAACTCTGAGTAGGACGCATTTTTTTCTTTAGGTTTCCTTTCGGAAATTCAAGTACTCAACTTCAGAATAACCCTACACTGCGTCTAATCGGAGGTTAAACAACAAATACAGCAACAGCAAACAGAGATGTGGGCGAAATGAGTTATGTCTATAACAGCCAGTAAAACCTAACACTTGTTAACGCCTTACTATCTCTGCAAATGCGTCACTGAACCTGGACCACAAGCCAGAATCAATATCTGCCCATTTGCCATTCCTAAATCTGTTTATCTCAGTGTATGTTGAAACATGATAATCGATAGTACTACAAATATGCGTTTCTCTAATGTGAGTTTATTTCAAGCTTAAAAAATGCAATCAAAGAGTCAAAGAATACTAAAGGTATGCTCGTGATTTAAAGTATGTATGCGTAACACTATCAAATATTGATACATTTCAATCAAACATTAAAACTGAGGTATGGGAGGGGGGGGGGGGGGAGGGGGTGAAATGGTCTTAATTTTGCAGCGTTAGTTTAAAACGTGACAATGTGCCCAATTTTCTTTGGCTACCCCCACATACGACAACACTGCTCACCAAATTCAAGCCTGCAACCCACCTGCATTATTTGAGATAAGTATTTGTCGTTCTCGGAGATATAATTATAAACAAAATTAATACACATACCTCTTAGACGGCACTCTTCCCAATCTCTAGTTTGCCTTCTCTTAGTAGCGCTAATGTAACGCAGATGAATTAGGCGTACATTCGATGTTCTCGTCAACTTTGTTCGAGCTGCAGAACAAAGTAATTTTGTTCTCATCATGTTTTCTGTGGTTTGGACAGAACGTCCTATAGATCTACACAAGCAGCTAGGATTAAAAACCATCTATGACCCTGTGGAGTGCTCTTACAACACACAAACGAAAGTTTTCATAAAAAGTAGAATTCGTATTTATTGTTATTTCCGGTGGCCTTTTTGTACCTTTCTACTGCATTTAATGATTGCAAAGAAAGTGGCTATTCTCACCCGCCCGGAAGTTCTCGCAAGATCTACTCCTCCCCTCTTCTCTCTCTCTCTGTCTCTTTCTGAATACTGTCTA